TGGTTACATGTTTAGTTTTAAAAGAAACTGTTAAACTGTTTTCCGAAGTTCCAAACTGTTTTCACTTTGCTTTTCCACCAGCAATGTAAGAGTGATCCAGTTTCTCTGTATCCTCGCCAGTATTTGGTGTTGTCACTATTTTTTATTTTAGACATTCTGATAAGTGTGCATTGGTATCTCCCTGTAGATTTAATTCATGTTTCCCTAATGACTAATGATGTTCAACATCTTTTCATGGGCTTATTTGTGGCATGTACATTTTTCAACATCTGGATGTATTTGGAGAAAAAAAGCATTTAATTAGTCTTAAATGTTTCTTTTGAATACTCGTTCAGTTTCTGTAGCCTTGTCTGGGGAGAATGTCAATACCAGGCAGAGACAGGACGCTCAGCAGAGATTTCCAACATACTGGACAAGAAAAAGAAGTAGAAAGGTTCATTTGAGCTAGATGTCACTCTTGCTAAAAAAAAAAAAAATCCATTTGATGTAAGTGTCCATGTAACACAGCATAACAATAATAAGGATTATGGTTTCATATCCCCTCTCAGGTCTAGTTCTTGTACCTTACATAATGTTAGGAGTTTCTGTAGGCATCTTAAAGGCGTTGTTATCTTTGGCAGGAGCATGGCGGCTTGGCTCAGAAAGCAGGCAGTAACAATGATACCGGTTCCTTTTATATATTTTTTTCTTCTCCTGGAACACCATGTTACCTAGAATACATGAGAATCTGGCAGAGTTCTACATTTTCTTCCCCTGTATTCCTTTCACACCATCTGTTTGGGTGTGCTAGACTCCACTGGAATGTCTTTACGAGGTGTCAAAACTCCGGGAACCCCACTCTAGTTGGCAGCAGAGAGAGAAAGGATAAAGTGATCATAGGAGTCGTATGGAAGAGAGAATCCGGGGGAGTGTCTGTCACAATTACAAAAGAGACAATTTACAGTATGGTAGAGTCCAAGGTTAGTGTTACTTCTCTCAGGATCTATTTCTGATCAAGGTCCCAGAAATGGATGCCACACAGCTCTTTCCTTCTTCATGGAAGGAGCGTCACTGGATGCTGTGCATGCTTCAGAGCCATTCTCATGCCTGTCTAGAGCACGCTAGGAGAAGAGCAAACGGGGGGCGAGGGTGCGATGGTATGACAATCCCCGGGTTTTGCACACGTTCACATATGATGGGTTAGAATTCCAGTTAATCCTAAAGTCATCTCAGAGGCAGAATTAGTTATAATCTTGCTTAGTGCAAATATAGAAAAACAAAACAAGACAAAAACCAGTCTTTCTACCCCTAAAACTTGTTTATAAACTGTATCATGTGAAAATCCAACTTGGAAAGAATTCTAGTTTGACTTAAACTGTTTGTTCACAAGCTCATGGAATAACATGGTTCTTGGATTCATTAAATCTTATTTATAAACTTAAGGTTGTTTTGGAACAGGAAGCATAACATTTACTAAAAAGAACATTGAAATGTATTTGTCTTTTTAATTAAAAAAATACTAAGAAATGAAGTCTGCAAAACACAAAATCTTAATATTGCAGTAGGATTTTCCCTCATTAAAAATATGTATCAAACCATTGTCTGATTGAAACTAAACACAGTTAAACATATATAGATATAAATTATATAATTTACATTTATTATACTTAATCCAGGTACACATGCAAACACATTTGTATATATAAATTATGTATGAAATACTCATAGCTAAAATTTATGTGGCTATATTTGAAACTGTGACATCAGAGATAGGCTTAAAACATGTTTAATTACATTACCAGCGTGTATAATCAGAGTTAGAACTACTGATAGATTTTGCTGACAAGAATTATGGAAAGTAGCAGCTAATTCAGGATTGTTCTATTACAGATATTACAGGGGAAGCAAGTCTAGAAAATGGGTTTAGAATTTTACATATTCACGTTTTTAGGGGAATTTTTATTCAAAAAAAGCATACTTCTTAAACAATTTAGACTGGCAAATTCTAGAATAAAATAATAGTTTTTGGTTTTAATAACTTTCTGTGACTTTCATGTTACATTCATTTAGTTGTAACCCATTATAGGGTATAAAAAATGTATAATGTGACATACACAGTATAAAAATGTGTCATGTCCTGTAATCCAAGGGAAGATTATAAAAATTTGGTAATATCTAGTTGGTATTGGTGTCTAGCATAATAATATCCATTTGAAAAGAACACAGTAATAAAGAGAGGCCTTTCTTCTTTATAAGGGCTCTGTGGTCCATACTTTTATGACCCTAAAACAGTCATGTTCACATTTCCTTTGAATGACACAATTAAAGGATGGAAGGGTACTCTCTCAAAACATAGGTGCCTTAGGTGCTCTATTAAAAATTCATATTATTTATAGCCTAGAAATATTTTCCAATGAAAGTGGGTGGGTTTTAGTAATCACAGCAAAAAGATGATCTTTGACGAGAACTCTTAAGACTCCTCTAGTACAAATCAAAGAACTTTGCTGAACTGAGTTTACTTTCTGATTTGCATGATCACTCTAAAAAAAAGTGTGGTTTGAAATTATTTTTAGTACATTAGAATCATTACCACCAAATAACTGAAGTCTTTTGGCAACTTTAAAAAGTGTTCTGAGCAATGTTGGTATTCTGCATTATGGCCATTTAAGAACGTACTTAATCGCACTCACACCCACTTATATGTTTAAATTCTTGTCTAGTATAACCACACACCTCTTCTCTAAGTAGAGTCTCTGAGCTTTTAAGACCTGAAAACAAAATTTTGAGAAATCCCGTGGCTAATTCCTGTGTGTGTCTCTGATCAGTCTCATTGCAGCTTTGTGTCTGGAAAGGTCTGACATCAGAAAGTTTGGATTGATTGAGATTAGTTCATTTTGAGGTTATCAGTGTTTCTGATTGCTCAGGAAAATGTTCCTGACTGTGGAACTTCTCTGATCCTGGCCGAGAAGCTTGTCGGCCAGACTTTATAATCAGACCATTGGATTTTGGGGATCTGGATACCCCAACGTGGATTCTTAGAGTTTGGGTTGGGTTTGTCTTGGGAAAGTTCTGCTTGGAATATAATCTGGTTTGGGGTTACAGTGGAGGCTGAGACCTCAGGAACAAATGTGTGCAGTACCAAACACCCAGGATGATGCTTGAGTTCAGTCAGTGGTGGCCATGAAATGCAACTGTTTTCAGAGTCATGGGGAAATATGAGAGCCCAGCGAGTACATAAAGTGTCTACAAAATGTGAGCGACTGCATTATTTTCCCCTCTTGAAAACCTTTGTGGTCTATTTGTAAATGATTATTCAAAGGTGGATAATATCATTAAATAAGTTAACATATTGTAAACAGAAAGATCAGGTGGACAGAATGAGGGAGAACAGATGGCCAGAGATCGCTTCCAAGCATAACTCCAAAGGCTGGTTGTCCAAGAGGGGCCTACAGAAATATTTAGAGGCTGTCACAGGCTGAACACCACTCATTCATTCATTCATTCATTCCATCAGCATTTGTGTTGGGTTTGCTCTTTGTACTAGGTCCTGTGTGGGCTCTTCGGGGTTCAGCTGTGAACAATAACGACAGAAAAAGCAGACAAAGTCTCTGCCTCGTGGACACTTTCATGCTAGAAACCAGCTACACTAAGAAAATATTTAATAATCAGAAAGGCCATTAAAACAGCAAAGTGCTATATTTAAATATTTATAGGTGGGTGTAATATTGCTTACAGAGATAAAGATTTAAAAATAGAGTGCCTTTTTTTGCTCTCAAAACGGAACTGACAGAAATAGGAGTTACATGTAAGAAACTCTTTCTAAAAAAATTGAAAAACTACTTCCAGTCCCTTTACCACTAACCTCTTAAGCAGGTTATAATTTTCATCTCTTTGAAACATGGAAGCTAAAATTCTTTAAAACGTTACTAGCAATTTTTGTCTGGTATTTTATTTGTCTGGTGTTTTATTTTTGAGACTCATGAACTGGTCAAAATTAAATGTAGATATTGAATATTTAAATAAGTAGGATGTTAATCACTCAAGCAATTAGTTTAAGGGGAAAATAAAGGAAATGAGAAACAAGTTTATATATTCAACCCCTCACATCCATGGGTTCCCATACTCAGATTTTACCAAACTCGAACCTAAAATATTTGAAAAATAATGTATCAGTAGTGAATATGGACAGGCTTTTATTTTTCCTTGTCATTATTCCTTATATAACAACTATACAACATAACAGCTATTTACAACATAATACATTATTCCTTAAATAATATACTATAACAACATAGCATTTACATTGTATTAGATATTATAAGTAATCTTGAGATGCTTTAAAGTATACAGGAGGATGTATGTAGGTTATATATAAATACTTTGCTATTTTTTATAAGGGACTTGAAAATCCATGGCTTTCGGTATTTGCAGGAGATCCTGGACCCAATCCCCATAGATGTTAGGGGACAACTCTAAATAGCATAGAGACGTGATTTAAACAATATGCTTTTTAAAATCTCATACCAGATATTTTACATCTTATTTAAAAAATGAGATAGCAAATAAAAGATACAAATTCAACACATAATGTAGATTAAGTAGGGAGTTAAAACGCAGCATTCAACTTAATATCGTATGAAAAAGTATGTGCGTGCTTTATGCAATTTGACTGCAATAAAGAAGCGGCTTTTGCTCACTCGGGCTCCTTTCCCTCCATTAACTTCATCCACTTCTCAAAAAGCCTTCTTGCTATGCTGTTCTGCATTAAACAGTAGAGTGCTTGGAGTCAGCAAGCTTAGGCAGTTTAGTATCTGAAAATGCCAGCTTGATTTTCATGTGTAGATTACAGATCAACTTTCTCTTTTATCAATAGATTTTTGAGTTATTGCATAAAATAATAAAAGAGTGAGTGAATGAAGAGTGACTATGGACAGAGACTTGCGCAGTGTCCTTGCGTATGTCCTCTTTATGTTGCGTCCATGCAACCTTAATTCATTCCACAGTGACTGGGTGGGCAATTCGCGAAGGCTGGTTAGAGGGAGTCCTCCCACTAAGCGGAAGGGAGGCCTCCCAGATAAGCTATGGATTAAGCCATATGGAGAGGGTGAGCAGGAATTTTGCTGGAGACAAGGGCCTTTCAGACAAAGTGAGCAATGGATGCAGAGACACAGAAGCAGCACAAGCCTGAGAAAAGTAATGAGTATCTCTTGTGGTTTCATTTATTTGTGTGGGACCAAATTTCCATTGGTAGCATTGGGTATCATTTCTTCTGCCTAAAGTATTTTCCTTAACATCCAGTGTCTGAAAAAGTCTGTTTCACCTTCATTTAAAAAATATTTTGGGGCGGATATTGACAGGTTTTTCTTTTTTCTTTCTATACTTTTTAAGTATGTTGCTGGATTGCCTTCTGGTTTGCATAGATTTTCATAGCCTTCTGTTATAATTATTGCGTTCCTGTATATGAAATGTGTCTTTTTAATCTGGATATTTTCATGATTTTCTTTTTACCTTGGGTTTTCTGTAATTTATTTTGTTGAGCCTTGGGCCCCCCTCCCCCACATTTATTCTGCTTGGGATTTGTTGAGCTTCTTGGATCTGTGAGTTTATAGTTCCCATCAAATTTGGGAAAGTTTTGGTCATGATTTCTTCAAGTATTTTATACTCAGTGACTTTCTTGGAACTTTGGGTAGTTGGATCCCTTGAAATTTCCCCACAAGTTAATGACCCTGTTCATTTTTTCAGACTTTTGTATCTCTGTATTTTATTTTTTTTTGTTTTTGTTTTGTGAGGCAAGGTCTTGCTATGTAGTTCAGGCTGTCCTTGAACTCACTATGTATCCCAGATTGGCACTGAACTCATGGCAATCCTCCTGCCTCCGCCTCCTCAGTGCTGGGATTACAGGCATGAGCCACCACACCCTGCTTTTGTGCTTTATTTTAGGCAGTGTTTCTTTTATTATCTAAAACTATGCTTTCAGTTTACTACATTTGATCTTCACCAAAAGGTGAGGAAGCAATGTATTTTCAATTTACTGATCTTTTTTCACTATATTTAAAAATTTTTTCAGATATTGTAGTTTTCATATTTGTAGTTTTTCTGGATTTTGGATTCTTTTTATATCTTGTATTCCTCTCTCTATAATGTTAATGTCTTCTACCTTCTAAAACATTTTTGATACCCATTTCAATGTACTTCTCTCAATTACATCACTCTATTGTTTCTTGTTCTCTTCTTGTTGATTGATTTTCTCCTGGATATGGATCATATACTTCTGTGCATTCCTGATAATTTTTTTGGATTATGGACAAGGTGAATTTTACATTGCTGGGTTCTGAGTTTTGTTGCATTTCTTTAAATTTGTTGGTCATTGTTCTGGCATACAGCTGAGTTACTTGTAATGAATCTAATCTTTCCAAGGATTGTTTCTAAGATCTGCCTTTAAGGTTAACTTTGCTTCCCTCCTAAGGCAACAGCTCTTCCAAGTATTCTGTCTTAGATCCCATGTTTTATGCAATTTTCTATTCTGATTGATGGAAATTTAAGTGATTCCTAGCTCTCTGTGAACTTCAGTAATTATTCAACCCAATGCTTTCCAGTAATTACTAAACCTAATGCTTCTCACAGGGGAGATTATTTAGATTTCTTAGAGGCAAATCCTATAGATTTTATGATATCACTTATAAATATTTGTTTGCATTTCTAAAAGATAAAGGCTCTTCAAAAAAGCCTAGTCACACCAGCATGATCATGTCTATAATAACTAATAACAATTTCCGAATACCATCAATTACCTAGTCAACATAAAATTCTGTTTTCCCAGAAAGGGAGCATGTGCCTGAGTGGGATAGTTCCAATAAATAACATCACAGGGAATGGTCACATCTTAGCTCGAATCTTCCCACTGTACTTTACAGACTCCCTTCTGTTCAAACTCACTCTTCTACCAGCATGTAAATACCCAGTAGCTCCCTCCCCTTCCCTTTATCAACTGGGAATATCCATTCTCCCTCTGTCCTTCTTGACCTGACTCCATAGACTCCTCCTCCTCTTGTCTCTGAACGCCAGGTCCACAGGTAAGTTTGGAGATTGGTATGGTGCTCCTTACTTTACAATGGGGCTGTGTCCTGAAAAATTCATAAATTGAAAATATCATTACACCAAAAATGTGTTTAATCCACTTAATTTATCAAACCTCCTGGCTTGCAACACAGTGCACTCCGGAGTTCTGGTTCTTTCTCCTGGTGACCAGGTGGCTGGCTGGGAGCTGTTGTTGCCCTACACAGAGAGAGTATCATGCTGCATTATGCCAGCTTGGGAAAACAGCAAAATTCAGTTTGAAGTATGGTTTTCACTGAATGCACATGGCTTTTGAACCATTATAAATTGAAAAAGTTAAGTGGAGCCATCGGAAGTCAAGACTGTGCATCTCTTGAAAAATAAAGGGAGCACCTTAAGGTCCCTTCCACCTGTGACCTGATATGATCCAAAGAGAGGGTCATAGGCTGCTTTAGAAACAGAAGGGAACATTTACTCTATCTCAGGTTTCCAAATGAGCAAAGAGTGTATAGCATCCTCTCTGTGGGGTTGGGATAGAATTGCTTTTATTTGGCTTCAATCATATTTAATTTATCCTGAAATTTCAAACTGTGCAAAAGAAGTCTTGATATATTTATGTTTATCAAAAATGACCATGGGTTAGGGAAGTTTGAACAAGACTGATTAACCTCAGGCAACTCCCGCCTTTAATATAATCCGCAAGATTGGCCTTAGAAGTGTGAGTTCAGGGGGTCAGAAAGGATTCCATGTCTTCTCTGCCTACTCCTACCCCAAACTTCCTTCTCTGTTCTTGGATGCTCGAAATGTTCTGTACTGGGGAAAAGACCACATAAACAGAAGTGATTTTTAAAAAATATTCTTGAGACAGGGTCTCACTATGTAGTTCAGGCTGGCCTTGAAGCCACTATGCAGTCCAGGCTGACCTCGAACTTGAAGCAATCCTCCTGCTTCAGCCTCCCAAGTGCTGGGATTACAGGCATGTACCACCACACCTGGCAGAAACAAGTGATTTTGAAAAACAGTTTTATTGATATTTAATTCACACACTATATAATTCACCTGTCTAAAGTGAATTTGTGCAGTCGTCACAACACATTTTAGAACATTTTTACCACCTGAAAAGAAACCTCATTCCCATTAGCACTCACTCCCTATTTCCCTTCAACATCTCTAACCCTAAGCAAACACTAGTCTACCTTCCTTTCTATAGACTTCCCTCTTCTGGACATTTTGTATACATGGAATAAAACAACATGTGGCCTTTGTGGCTAGAAACATAAGCGACCTGAAATGATTCAAATTAACATGAAGGAGGTAAAGACTATGTTACGCTAACTTTAAATAGATTTTTGATGGAGGGAGGAAGAGACCCCTTTGGGACAAGGTGGCTGATGAGAGGAGGCAAAACAGTAGCAAAGAGTGGTGGTCCTCACCTCATGATTTGGCTGGGCCACCTCATGATGTCAGCCCTAAATGTCAGCACTTCAAGATGATAATTCAGACGTTAGGATCAAAACAGAAGGACTTGCCCAAGCGGCCTCATGTATCAATGCAGGTACGCTCAGGTTCCTATCTGTCACATTCATAAACACTGGAAATGAGACTTATAATTAGATCTCACTTAACTGACAGCTGGCCTTGATTTCTCACCGAGCTGCATATAGGATCAGAGCACCTCTTTCCTGTACCTCAGCTTGTAATGCAGAGCACTAGAACAATGTTGTGCAGGCTATTTGCCCGACCAGGCCAGGTAACAGGGCACAAGGCTGTCATTTTCATCACGAGGAAATAGGTCTTTTGGTGTAATTTTCCTCCAGTAATTAGTCTCTCTGTGATTTTTAGACTTTGTGTCATGTTGTGAATGCAACATGTGCGACAGCATTCCTGCTGAGGAAATATCTCCTATGATGGGTAAGCAAATATCATCTTTCATTTAAAACATCAGAAAAATTTCATCTGAAACTTCTGAACAACCAGGGGGAGGAAAACTCCTAACGACAACAAAAAACCCACTTATGCAAAAATCCACTTGAGAGTGTCTTACAGGGCAGTCTGGGAAGTGCCCATTGGCTGGATGTTCGCTTGTATATTAGTGGTGATTTCTTATTTGTATTTTTATTTTTTTTGTTTTTTTTGAGACATGGTCTCATTATGTAGTTCAGGCTGGCCTCAAACTCACTATGTAGCACAGGCTGGCCTCAAACTCACTATGTAGCTCAGGCTGGCCTTGAACTTGTGGTGATCCTCCTGCCTCAGCCTTCCAAGTGCTGGGATTACAGGCGTGCACCACCACCATACCTGTCCTAGTGGCGATTTCTTATGAGATGACTGCTTTCTGTCCACAAAATGGTTGTTTAACCAAGAAAAGTTAAGTAGACAGCCCAAGGAGGTATGTATCAGATCAAGGCACTTCCCTAAACCAGGAGTTTTGTGAGTCAGTTTTTACTCCACTAGTCCATATTTCTGTTTTCTTTTCTAGGTAGGCACATGCTTGTTAGTAAACTCAATCCTTTGTAGAATGGAGCAGTGAATAAATATTTTCCTTTTCTTTGATGAATGGAATAATACTTTCACATAATAAGAGCTTCCTCCTAGTAGATCACATTTGAAAAATATGGATTCTAAAATTTGTAGGCAAAGAAAGCCATTACATCTTTTGCTATACATGGGATTAGTTGGGTTAAGACTGGGCCATGATGGGAAGGTGAAATGATTAGAATTCTCAGACACTATTTGTGGAAATATAGAACAGTATGAGTGTGAAGGTACTCATTCAGCAATATCTAATAATTTCAAACATATGCTTACCCTGTGACCCAGCAATTCCATGCCTAGATAACCCACAAGAGAAATACCTTCATACCAACACATGTATAGAAATATTCTTAGTAATTTTGCTCACAGTCACAAAAGATGGGAATAAATTCAAACATCTATTAAACAATGGAGTACTACACAGCAATGAAAAGCAAACTTCTAGCATACAAATAATACAGATAAATCTGAAATTATTTTGTGTGATGAAAGCTAGAGACATAAGTGTTCCTATTAGATGGTCCACTTTAGACTGTCATGAATAGGTAAAAGATGTCAATATTGATGGAAATCAAGAGGATGGCTACCTGGCAGGGGTAGCCAGGTCTGGAAAAAAGCATGTGGGAACTTTCCGGTAGGGTCAGAATTTTTCTGTATCTTGATTTGTATGGTGGTTACAGAAGTGTTTTGTGTGTTCTCTCTTTAGGGACCTGGTCTGTTTTAAAGTGAGTTGCCTACTAACATCTTCCAAATTCACACTCCCTGCAATGACAGCACCTCTGATTCCAGCACTAGGCCTCTATCTGCACACCGACATGAACCATAAAACATGTACTGAAGGTGCTGGAAGGTGTGGGGCTAGAGAGTGTTGAGGATAGAAGATTTTGGAATGCAGTAAAAATTCTATTGGAAAGTTCAAGATGGCAGATGAAAAAGAGGACTTTGGAAGAACTTGGAGGTCTTTGCTTTGGGAAAGGGGAAGAGAGGAGAAATAATAAAGATGGGGACATTTGGAAGTAGAGATGTGCCTTCTCATTTCCATTCTCATTTCTCTGAGCTCTACCTGGAACAGTGCTAGTGCATATTTAGTTACTGCTACTTGCCTAGATCTGTGCTATGTGTTTATTATACCACCACATATAACCCTGTAAGGAAGATAATGCTATTAGCCAAAAATTTAGGTGGGGAAATAGAAGCCTACAGTGTTTAAATAATTTGTTTAAGGTCTCACGGCTGTGGCATCTGGATCTGTGATATGATTCTAGCCTGTGGCATCACAAAGTTCACATCCATCACCATCAATGCCCCTTTCTGGACACTCACCCCTATTAGCACACCCCTCAGTTCCTTCTCGAGGCCTTGCTGTCTGCCTGTTTCCATGGACTTAGGATGCCTTCCTTCCTGCTCAGTTTCTCAGCTGGGCAGACCATTCCAGGGAGAGAACTGCACATGGTCAAGCAGGTGGGCATATGAAAGAGCTCCTGTTAAATCTGTCCTGGGGCCTGGGTGTTGAATTCATGAATGAGGAGTTAAGGTATAATTTAATTGGCAGTGCAGAGCCGCTGATGGCTCTTGATGAGAGCTGAGCTTTAGGGAGATGAGTCTCACAGCCGATGAGGGATGGACTGTAGCAATAAGAGGGTGCAGGTAAGAGGCCAGTTTTATAACCATTGAGGTGAGGCAACAGGCCTGGTAGGATGAGTGTAGGGAGAGAAGAAAAGAAGATGGGAGCTATCAGGGAAACAGCTCTTCCCAGAGGCCCTGCTGGGGAATATATTTATCCAGCTTCCAAGAGAGCTAGTAGCAAAGAATATCTTGTTCATTAGCACTTAATCAAATCTAGCTTTCCCAGCTGAGCATTCAAAAGCCCTTTATAAACTGATGCCAATGCTCTCTAGTCATCTTTTTTTCTTGCTGCATCCCAACTTTCATCCCCCACTATGGGCAGGGTGAACATGCTGTTCAACAAACGTGCTATGATCGATTTTGTATCTCAGATTCTCTTTCTACGTCTATACAAGACAGATTTTAAACCCCATTTTCCTCACAGACACTGTGTTGATTATAGCTACTTCTGTACTCTGAATTCCCCAAATTCCCCAGAGCAATTTCACATGGTTGATTTGGCCTCCTTTCTTCTTGAGCCTCTTGGAGAATGGTTGGTGACCACCATGTACTATGCTGTGCTCAAGTCTTCCACAAGGGTTAGCCTGGCTTGGAGTGCATAGTAAGCTTCAGATTCCACTGGCCGGTGAAGAGTCCTGTGTAGAGGACCTGTTTTCCATATGGAGTTTGACATACTGAAGCTAGTTCTGTCTTAAAGATGAGTTTTCAATCAAATCCCTCTTTACTGAAGGAAGGTGTTACAGAAAGCAAGGAGAGGTGATTGGAGATGAGGTGGGAAGAGAAAGGAAGGTTTTCAAGGACAATTGTTGTGAGCATGTGGAATTTGCCATATCTGCTCTTCCTTATTCTTGCAAACTCTGGACCACATCTGTCCGAGATGCCTAAATGCCTTGTTCATTGGTTTTGGGGCAAGAATGAACCCAGGGTCAGGCTGGAAGAGAAACAGCAATGAATGCTCAGGACTAAAGCAGAAGAACAGAATGTATTTGAATACCCATGACCAAGTCCCTGATGGTACTTAAGGAAAGTTGCCATCTTTAAAGGAAATGAACTGTCCATTTCAGAGTGGCAGTAGTCTGCCTGGTTGCAGAGTTCAGACTCCTCGCTATGACTGGCTCAAGGCCATGCTGCATTAGCATCCCACTTGGGTGAATCTTTCATGAAACCCACTCCTCCATAAAGCATGCAATGCTGCTAGCTTAGTGCTTCTTGATTGATAACATACATTGCTGTTTATTTAACAAACACCTATGTTGTGCTCACGACACATATTTAAAAATGTCAGCACTTTTCACTCTTCACAGCAACCCTGGTGGATACTATTACTCTCATTGTTTCTAGTTCAATATGGGAAAACTTGGACACAGAAGTTTTGAATAAATTCCTCAAGATCACATGGCCAGGGGGTAGAAGGGAAGGATTTAAACCCAAACACTCTGGCTCCATTGCTCTTAACTGCCACTCTCTGCCATTTTAATCATTACTTGTGTTGACTATGCTTTAGCTACCTGGGGATAGAATAATACTGAGGTCACGGGGTTCCTTGGTGAATGGTGTGGAGGAGATGGGTGAAAGGGATACAGATGGGGAAGAGAGGTAGAAAGAGGAGAATTGAGGCCAAGATATCTGACCTTATTTCCCAATTTACTTAGGACTTGGCCGGGTGTTACAATTGTCCTTTCTATGCTTTAACTGTGGAACCCCCAAAGCCAACTCCAGATATTTAAAAAGTAGAAATTAGATGTTACTGTCCTTGATAGTTCATCATCTGTGGTCTCTGACAGGAAGGAGCAGATGCTGTGTGAAGATCATGCTGTCATGGATGTTGTGGGACAATTTGGGCTTGATGGATGTCACTCCCTCGCTGCCTCTCCAAGCAGACAGCTCAGAACACAGCAGGGACAAGGTGTCTTATCTGTTGCCTATTCAATCTAGACATCATGAGTCTTCTGGGAGTTTAGCTGCCTACGTGGGAATCCTCTCACATTGATGATCTATCTGTCTGTCATGATATTTGGAGTAGATTTTTGTTTTTGTCAAAATTAACTCCACGATTCTGGGTGCACAGTGTTTTGGTTTCTTTTCTCATTGCTGAAACAGAATACCTGGCACCCAAAGTTAAAGGAGGAAAGGTTTATTTTAGTTCACAATTAATAGAGGTTTCAGTACATAGTTGGCTGGGTCCACGGCAGGGTGGCATGGCAGAGGGAATGGCAGAGGAGAAACAGTTCATGGCATGGCAGGCAGAAGACAGCACCAGCAAGCAGCCAGCCTGCCTTTCCCTTTTATCCCATCCAGGATACAAGCCTTTTTGGTGAGCCACTCATACCCAGGATGAGGCATCTGTCTTCAGTAAATCCATTCAGCCACATCCAGAGTTATGCTAATTCTAGTCAGTGGACTAATTTAGTTACAACACATCCTTAATCCTCTTTCACACATCCTAGATCCAGCCACCTCTGAAAAGCCTACCTATGAGTGCATGAGGCTTTGGGGGGACCTTTAGACATAAGCCATAACATACAACAACATCTACCCCTTCATGTGATGAAACTCTTTGCAGAGTAGCATTTTCTGTTTTCTTTGAGATGAAGATACTTCCTATTCATTTAATGGAAACACTTTTCAACTGCCTCTGTCCCCTCAAAGGCGGTTCACAGGGAGTCCTTTTGTGTGACACAGGGTGACCACTCAAGAAAAGCTTCTGGCAGGGCAAGGAGCCTGGAGGCCTTCACAGAGCTTTTGTGAAATGCAAAAGTTTGGGGTCAATGTGTTCATTGGAAAAAAAATGGCTTCTTTCCCTGTGTAATTGGAAGGACATCTAAGGTCTCTGTGTTTCCATTCTTTTTTTTTTTTTTTTGGTACCAGGGATCGAACTTGGGACTTCCCGCTTGCAAGGCGGGCGGCGGAACCACTGAGCTAAATCCCGGGCCCTGTGTTTCCATTCTTAACTAGGCTGACAAAATATTTCATATTCCTTCCATCAAAGCTCTGACCTTTTGGGCTAAGATATCACAACTTTAGAAATAGTTCCTTTCTTTACAGCGAGAATTGTGTTTGCACGTGCACGCACGTGTGTGTGTATGTTACATACCACATAAGCCATTGCTTCATTATTATTACTATTACTTAATGGTCCTAAAAAGAAATCATGAAAATAGAGTTCTGCCTAATTATACTGAAAACCTTCCTGGATTAGAACTGTGCCTGACTTGTGATATAACACAGGGTATTCTAGGGCTCGGAATCTGGAGGGGTGTGGGAGCTGAGCACCGCCACTGAGCGAGAGAGAGGAGTGTCTGTGGGAGAAAGCACACCTAGAAGCCAGGCTGTTTCTGCCTTGGCATTCCCCACTGTGACTCGGAGTTTAGAAAAAGCCAACCGAGGGGGGAAAACGGGAGCATAAAAAACCTCATCGCACCTAATCTGAATTCCCCTTGGAAGGTTTTGTGTTTGTTACTGCTATATAAAATCCCAGTTTGGGCATGTGTGGAGGTAACTGTGCAGGTATGACCTCTTACCCGGCTTATTAAGGTTGTGATTAACTTCATTATTTGCCTGGTAGAAATGTTTTCAATGAACGTAAGTGAATTTGTGTTTTACTTAAGACCGAGAAGAAAGTGCGACACATTCCTCATGAGACTCCCGGTGCTAACTCTGAGCCGATAACATGTTAGCCCCCCGGGGCAGTCTCTCTCTCTCCGGAGGCTGGCTCCCCATCCTCACTCCTCCTCCCAGGAAGGTGCCACCTGCAGAGCCAAGGGCTGGCCGCGCAGGCCCAGGAGTATCTCTGGGGTGGCTTCTGTTCCCGGATCAATTAGTAGATCTTCTTAAGACTTTGGAGAACTGTGTTCCTAGCTTGGTGGCTGGATCCCTATTTGTTTTCCAGGCTAAATGCCTCACCTGATGATCTTCTCAACTCCTTCAGACTGATCTAGGCCTTCTCATCATTTCCATTTTCTTCTCTTCAACATTTCATCCCCACCACATCTGTATGGTGCAGGATTTCTGTCTGCAAAACCCATCCTGGAAACTAATGCTAGTCTACTATTTACAAACTTTTCCATTGTATGCAGAAGAAAGCCTTTTCCTAGATTCCTCACTGCTGAACTTCCCTGATTGGATTTGTTTTATAAAACTTGTTGGTAAAAATATTGCTTCCTCAACTGTGCCTCTAGCTTACTATATCAGACTTTCCTGCTCTGGGTGTTTATGTTTGAGACCCATAATAAGTGGACCCCAGAATCACCTGGGTGGTTTCTTAAAATACAGTTGTATGGGACTAACTCCTAGAATTTTTCTGTTCTTTTTTTTTTTTTTTTTTGGTACCAGGGATCAAACTTGGAACCTTGCACTTGTGAGGTAGGTGGTGGAACCACTGAG